AGGTAAGACCTATGCTGTATTTGCTTTGTTAACCTCGAGCCACATTCGGGGGGAACCATACCCATAGGAATTTTTGGGATTTCACTTGCGGAGCGTTTCTCAGCGCTTCGATCAGCGCTGAAAAACGCCCAGGTGTGAACCCAGCCTTAAGACCCCAGAATGGGAACAAGGCAGCCAAGACTGATTTTCACTGCATTACTCTGTGGTGTCCCAGCAGAGGGGTACCATGGCCTGCTGTGTCCCCAAGACCTAAAGTGTGGAGTTAAGGCAGATGTAGTGGGCAGGCATGCAAGAGGGGGCTTGAAAGTGCATTTGATGTTGCCATGGCACAGAAGAGCACTTTGCACATAATGCACCCACTTCAGACTGCAAAAAAGTAACCCCAAATGAAATAAGAATGGGAAAAAGGTTCCACAGAAGCAAAGTGGCTTAGTGTGTGCTGCTATAGTGCATAACTAGTGGCAAGTACACAAGGCAATTACTGTTTGATGGGTCAATCCTTCCGCTTTATAGTCATCACTTCCTAGTGGCAGGCCATATATCCAAAGGCCTACTGAATCTCCAATGAAGGCTAAAATATATGTAACAATACTGAACAAAATATAAATAAAAAGGGGAAAAAATTTAGACTGGTAAATCTGAATGCAGGAAATGTGTTGAATTACAGTCAGAGGAAAATTTAACAAAATGTCTTTGTTACGGTTACTTCAGTTAGAACAAACTGCTATAGTCCAAATGCAAAATGATAAGAATGTAAATGGACTAATTATATTAAAAGGAGAACTATGAGATGAGTGATTTCCACTCACCTCATAGTTCTAGCCGACCTGTGACAATGAGACTGTCACAGGTCGGCTCAGTAGATCGGGAGGTGAGCGAACACATACCGGCGTTCGCTCACCTCTCGATCCTGTCACGGCTCTCTGCCGTGACAGGGGAGGGGCTGGATTCCCCCCTCCCCGCTCCGATCCGCCAGCGCTGACTGGCGGAACAGACGGGGGAGGGGGCGGGTACAGCTGGCTCTGCCTCTAGATAGGCAGAGCCAGCTGTCACTCACGCAGCTGGGCGGATCTCGACGTCCATGACGGGATCCGCTGCGGCGTCTCAGTATATCGCGAGCTGTAGCTAGCGGTATACTGAGCTTAGGGTAACGGGAGGACGCTAGTTTGTGTCCTCCCGTTACCCTAAGGAGAACTATGGGGAAAAACACTGACCCCATAGTTCTCCTTTAACCACTTGCTGACCGAGGTGTTAAACCCCCTTCCTGTCCAGGTCATTTTTCAGTATTTAGCGCTGCTGCTGACATTTATTCCATCATGCAACGGTATACTGAAATTATTTTATACCATTTTTGGGGGACAGAGATTTAATTTGGTGGGATTTAATCACCACTGGGCTATTAATTTTCTACTATACATTAAAAAAAATATTGTTCAAACAGATGTTGTCCAGATCCAATTACCACCAAGTGGAGGAGACAGATGGAGATATAAAGCAACGACGGAGCAGCATGAGGGAATTATAAAAGAGGGGAAACTGGTCGAGGAGTAGATCTTCAAAAGATTCTGCTGTATGGGCCCCCATGGTTTCGCCACTTTGACTCAGAGAAAAAGGTGGACTATCATACTCCCGTCTTGGATATAGCTTTGCGGCTAATCTCTGATCCCTGGATAATTGCTAAACTCCCTGAAGAAGCATATGTGCGAAACGCGTTGGTGAAAACTACTGAACATTGCATCAATTTATGGAAAGAGCATATGAATGGACTCTGGATTATATGTATGATTTGTTATCATGTACAACAAGCTATGTACTGTATTTTTCCATGTATAAGACTATACTTTTTCATAAAAATATTTACCTAAAAATGGAGGGGCGTCTTATACACGGGGGGCTGAGAGGAGAACCGCGGTTAAGAAACTGCCGATACCTCTGCAAACTAGCCTCACGAGTGAAACTTCCGATTGCAGAGACAAGCTAACAGGTTTCCTCCAATCATGAGCCTTATGTACCCGTCAGCTGATGCTGCGTAGAGCCTGTAGCCAGTGCCCAGATGTAACAGGGAGCGGTAATGTCGGAGCAGTCTGAGCCCATAAAATGTCAGAAAACTAAAAACATCCCGGTAAATACTAATACCAGGAAGCGGGTGCCTTACTCTGCAAAATGTAAACTGGATGCAAAAGAGCATGGAGAATATTGATTTCTGATTTTTGAGTAAGAAAAGTGGGGGGCGTCCTATACATGGGGGCGTCTTATAGATGGAAAAATACGGTATTTATATTCAGCAAGAATCAAGGAAGTAAAATCGGTACTGTGATTTTTAATTTAAAAAAAATTATTACATTTGTTGAAAATTGTACATTTGTCTGACACTTCTTAAAGCCCCATCACCACATATGTGGTATTTTTGTTACTATTATAATTGATTGGGGGTGAAGTCTCAGACCACTTGGTGGTAATTGGATCTGGACAACATCTGTTTAAACAATATATTATATATTGAAAAAACTTACGAAAAAAAAACACAACTGTTTTCCCTATGTTATTATAAAACATTTACCAGAATCCAAAGTGCAAAAAAAACGACCATGCCTAAAAATCGGCCATAGGCGACGCTTTAAAAGCTTTTACTGCTCCTCAGTTTAGTGTTCTCAGTGATTGATGGCCCCAAAATTATTGGTCACACTCCCACATTTGTGGCGATATGCAACATGTAGGCGCAACCGTCACATATTTACATTAATATGTACAGAGTACAAAGCCGCTGTGCTGGTCCCGGGCCCGCAGGGAGGACAGCAGAGCCTGGGATAACCGGCAGGGGGGGGCCTCACGCCGTTTGTCATACAAGCGATCGCCGAGCTGTAGAGCTGTATGCAACGGTAGGTACCAGCTGTTTACATACACAGGGAGGGGTTCTGCTCGTGGGGACACGCGCGAGTAAAAAAAAGAAAAGCACGTACATGTATGTCCACCTGCTGAGAAGATGTTGCTGTCCACCTGTGTATTTACAATGGGCAGACGGCAAGTGGTTAATAAAAGCAGAACTAGGATAAGATTTTCGATTAAAAGTACCATGGATTTTGGTATAGCAATGATGTGTACGTGGGAGTATAAACTGATAGAAACAGTGTTAGCAGAGAGGGTTAAACATAACATTCGTGTCATCAGCATACAGATTGTAGCCACAGATACAAATTTATTTTCACATAGCACAATTACCCCAGGTCTGTTCTCCTCCAGCAATGCAACGTCCTGCCAACTACTATGCACTTCTTTTGGGTTTGGCGTCCTCTTAGTTCTGCCGTTGAGCAGTAACGAATTATGTAAATCCTACGCATGCAGGGAATGGTGCAGTAGTGTAAGCTGCTGCAGTAAGTGTACAAGTATCCCAAATTTGCTAGCAGACAAGTAAATGTTTGAGAGAAGAGACAAAGGGATTTATAAAAACTGTTGTCCATGGTAATAAATCAGCTCCTCTCGTTCATTTTCAAAACCTAACTGAACAGGGACGCCGATTAGTTGCTAAGGGCAACTGCTGCAGATTCTGTCTGCTCCAGTTTTTATTCCCCTCATAGGTCTCTTCTACCAAAAAGCTCTATATTCAATCAATTTTTTTTTTGTAACTTGTTGGCGTTCAGTGTATCAAAGTCACCAGATAGAGCATGTAGTATTTGTGTTTAATTTTACTTTTGTCAGCTATCCAGCAAGCACTGAATACTTTAGTGACAAGCAGTTTCAAAACACTATAAAGAAGTGGCAGCCAGGAAAAGGAAACAAATAGAGTGTAAACCAAATGTTCAAGAATACTGGAAGCAAAGGTGAGATTAGAAACATTGCAGTAATAAGCTGGGCAAGATTAATTGATGGCGTTTTAATGATGAAAATCATCGCTGAATTTTGCCGACTCTGTCCTGCCTTCTGGAGGGTGGCTACTTTTTTGTTCCCCATGGACACACATGTGGAACAAAAGTAGCCACCCTCCAGAAGGCAGGAGGGTAGCTGTAAAGTAGCCACAGCTCCAAGCACACTCCCGTGATGGACTACAATCTCAATACAAATTAGAAGACTAAACGTGAGATTGTAGTCCATCATGCGAGCGAGCTTGGAGTGGTGGCTACTTTACAACACACAAAGGGACCATGGGGAACTTAAGTAGCCACTCTTCAGAAGAAGGGAGGGTGTCAGCACCAATTCAGAGATGATTTGAGGATCTACAGTGAGTGATACACATGAGGTACATTTTTGTTAATAGTTAAAAAGGAGAACTATGAGGTGAGTGCTTTTCACTCACCTCATAGTTCTAGCCGACCTGTGACAATGAGACTGTCACAGGTCGGCTCAGTAGATCAGGAGGTGAGCGAACACATACCGGGTTCGCTCGCCTCTCGATCATGTCACGGCTCTCTGCCATGACAGGGGGAGGGGCTGGATTCCCCTCTCCGATCTGCCAGCGCTGACTGGCGCAACGGACGGGGGAGGGTACAGCTGGCTCTGCCTCTAGATAGGCAGAGCCATCTGTCACTCACGCAGCTGGGCGGATCCCGTCATCTAAGTCGTGATCCGCTCCGGCGTCTCAGTATACCGCGAGCTGTAGCTCGCGGTATACTGAGCTTAGGGTAACAGGAGGACGCTAGTTTGTGTCCTCCCATTACCCTAAGGAGAACTATGGGGAAAAACACTGACCCCCATAGTTCTCCTTTAAGGATGCTTGAATGCATTTTTAAGATTTAGTTTTCAATTTAAAAAGAAAAAAAAAAGGACTAGTAAAATTAGATTAAGTAAGAAACACCCATAGATGAGCGAATTAGGCATTTACAGTGTACGGAGGGAGACATTTTCAGCAGTTTACCTAGTTTTGAAGGCACGAAATCGGTTTGGTATGCCATATCTATACGGATCAACATGCAAAGACCTTTAAGCAGATACCAAAGGGTTGCACCTTTTTAGGATTTATGAGATTTTAATATGTGCATTTAATGTGCTTTTTAATAAAGTTTTACCTTTGTTATCTGCAGCAATAAAGCCCAAAATATTTTCATGGCGCAGCATCACGGTTTGATATATTTCTGCTTCTCTGAACCATGAACGTTCCTCTCTTGATGAAAAAATCTTGACTGCTACTTCTTCTCCTCTCCACTTCCCACGCCACACTTCACCAAACCTACCTTTGCCAATGCTCTCTTGCAAAACTATGGTTCTTGCAATAGTTCTCTGCACAAGCAAGGGCAGACCTAGGAGGCAAAAAAGTAACAGATAATATTTAAATAAATAAAAAAATCAAACACTTTTTTTTATGTTACTGTTACCATTAAACCTCTACCACCTGCTCCAGGTTCCCTCTGGCACCCAGTCATGAAACATAGCTGCAGTGGGTAATCTCGAAGGTGATTCAAAGAGCAGACCCAATTTTCGGCCTTTCATCTCTGCTCAATCCAGTGGTAATCTTCCTTTGAAGTCAACAGGAAAGCCTACACTTTAGGAACTGTCAATCTCCTCGGTCCCCAAAGGCTCTCATTGGTCTCTCCCTGTAACCTCTATTTCACTAGAGAAGACAGTTTGCAAGAGGACAGCTACTGTGCTGTTTGCCATAACTTATTTTTTGTGTTGGACAGAGTAGGGAATAGCGAATGCCCTAAAAGTTTGAGCTCTGATGGTATGGGGTACATTAGTGTGTATGGAATAAACATACAAAACAGTATTGTGTCCCAAGATTAATTTTCTATCTTGGGAACAATAGCAAGGGAGTACAAGAAAAAGCTGTAGAACCAGTACACGATGATCTTCCAAAGAAATTCAAACTTTATTCCACTTGCATCTATACAAAAGAACAACTGCTGACATGTTTCTTCCTTACTCTGCCTGAGTCACAGACGGTTGTAATATAACACCAACCCCACTAAAATAGCACGCCACATAGGGCGGGGAGAAACACCTGTATCTAAATTACACTTTGTATCTAAAGACCACTTGACACAAAGGCCTCCTCAAAAGGGATAGCGAACCGAGAAACGCTTAGGGGCCGCAAAAGGACTTGGTAGGCCGCTTCCACTCCTTATAAATAAAGTCATCGAAAAAGGGGATGTAAGGAAACACTTTGGCGGAACGCCTACTCTTATGCGTCCCAAACTGCATAGGCGGCAATGCGCACTCATTGCGCGTCACAAAACCATCCATGGCAGAGGAAAAAACCTCCGAGGACAGCGCGGTACCGACCACCCCCCCAGAGTACCCTAAGGGACGCACGGGAGACTGGCAAATGGAGCGCAGGTCGCACAAAGAGGGGTCCGCAGAGCGCAGCCCACAGCCCTCACAAGGCAATGCAGGAGAATCATCCCTGCGATCAATGGCACACACCCACACAGAACGCCCCACAGACCGGAGACCACCACAAGCAAGAGAGACCCCCGCAGTACTCACGACCCCCAGCGTCACCATCTCAGCCCAGCACCAGCCATCCGACTCTGCAGGTGGAGGAGAGCTGCACCGTGTCTTGCACCCACGGCGTCCCAGGCCGGAAGAAAGACACTCCCCATCGGCCCGAGAGGAAGCTGGCGGAAGTGACATAGGGAGAAAGGGTGCCTGCCCAGGTCCAAGATGCAGTACCCACCCAGGAGCCCACACATAGGCCCTCCAAGGGCCACCTAAGCCCAAGCTACAGCCAGAAGGCAAGAGGGGCGTCCGCCCACATCCAAAATGGCGGCCGCGGCGCCACAAGCAGAACCGTGGCAGAGTCTGCATGCGCTCGTCGGTCACCCAGGGGAGACCACAAGGATCCATGGTCACCCAGCATGTCGCCCTGGGGACACTTGGAAAAATGGAAGAAAATTTCCAGATAAATTTTTTTAGCTCCTGACGCTAGGCAAAAAACTGGAGACTTGTCAGCAAGTGGGGGGGTTGGACCACCAGCAAAGGCCGCGCCCTAGGCTGTCTTGGATTTTGTTATGTGCCTAGCGTCCTACTCCTGCAGGTGGCGATATACCCTACCATTCAGGATCTACGATCTGTTGCCCTGTGTCCTTCAATGAACGGGAGAGAAATTTCTCTTGAAAACAGGGAGCGGATCTCCTTTGTTTTTATTTGCATATGCAGTATCTACAAGTAGAGATCCAACATTTGCATGAACCCTGTAAAGACAATCAAGTTTTTTTCTCTTTGGTGCTTTCCGGATTCTGAAAGAGAGAGGGGGGAAAAAAGGATGGACCCTTATGTGGGAGCCCTCCGAGAACCTACAGCCCTTAGACAAAAGTTCATAGATCTTACTGTTAGCCTAAAGTATAGGGAGATTTTTTTGAATAATCTGTACGATCTTCCTATATTCACAAGCGTATGTGGTGACAAATCTAGGATTATTTGTTTTAATTCTATTCCCTTTTTCAGTACATTGTTATCATGCAGCAAATCCACTCTGGATCTCTGTAATGCTCGACACTTGGCCTTCTCAATGAGCCAAGTTGGATAATCCCTTGACTATCAGCAGGAAGCATAGATATTTCTTTCCAACTAAAGAGATCCAGAGTGGAACAATTGCGCAATGCTCTAGTAAACTCCCCTGTTGGAATTTCTCTAATAGTATGAGCTGGGTGGCAGCTGGTTGCTCTCAATATTGAATTGCCCGCTGTCGGTTTACAAAAGGTGCGCTTGATAACGAGACCTGTTTCAATATCTCCTAATGTGAGGTCCACAAAATGGATGTTGGCTGGATCCCCGTAAAGTGTAAATGTAAATCATTATGATTAATAGAAGCAATAAATGTTTTACGTTCAGCCACTTCACTGTTCCACACGAACAGAAGATCATCAATCTAGTGTCCAAGTCATGTAATGCTGAAGGGGTTACACACAGCAAAAATATGGAGCTCCTCCCACCACCCCATGTAGAAATTGGCAAGAGAGGCCGAAACTTTTACCTTGATAGATGCTCCACATCCTTGCAGGTAAAAAGCCCCATCAAACATGAAAAAATTATGTTGAAGTAAAAACTCCACTGATGGCAATAACAAAAATGTTTAACTCCGGATTATAGTTGCTGTATTTGCAACGGTGATGTTCTAAGGCCCTGAGCATTGAATCATGCACGAACATCCACAGTGACCCATAGATAATTATGTTTCCACTGTACATTTGACAAACGGCTCAAAATGGATTTATAAATCCTGGCAACCGTAGGACTAAGGGTTGAAGGTGGGCATCCACCCACTATCCTAACCTTTCTGTTAATTAATCAATCCCTGCCACAATAGGGCATCCCTCCAGAAAGGGTCCTCCCTTATGAATGTTTGGCAGATGATGAAAAACCAGAACTATAGGACAGGAAACTACTAAACATTCAGCTGTCTTATGGCTCAAAACTTCTATGTACACTCCCTGCTTTACACGATCTTCCAAGGACTTCTTAAAGTCCTTTGTAGGATCACGGTCAAGGACACGATAGGTGTTCACATCTGATAACTGGCGGAGAGCCTCCGCCCTATAATCCTTGGTGTTCAGAACAACCACAGAACCACATTTATCCATGTTCCTGACAGTGATGACCTTCCTCTCTTTAAGAGAAAGAACCGCCTCTTGTTCAACTTTGGACAGATTATATCTACAATGTGCAGTCTCTTTACGTATAGAGAACATGCTAAAAAAGATTTCTGGGGCACTAGAGGCTCAGAGAAACTCTGAGACTTTCTTTTGGCTGTCCCATGTGGCACCTGGGAATTTTATGCTTAAGTGCCTGTGCCAATTTATCCTCCCTGCCAATTTATCTTCCCTTTGTGACATTTTGTTCTTCTTCTTGTATACAAGCATACAATGTGTTTTCTATAGACCACCTCACCCCTTCTTCATGCTGTATGCAGCCTACATGGTACCACATCCTGTGCCATCACGCTGAAACTTTTTTCACTGTCCTTGATTTGGAAGGGAGGAGTGGAGTTGCAGATACTTGCATAGCTAACTATCCAAAAGCCCAGGTTAAGGAATAGCAGCATCTCATACTAATACATACTAATCTCATCTCACTAATACAGCACATTATGTATCTCATTCTGTGTGAAAAAAAGTGTTAAGTCATTGTTATTTTTACATGGTAATAACTTTCTTGCACAAACTCTCCAGGTGTTTTAAAATAGTTGCCAAGAAAAGAGGGCACACAGGAAGCACAGGGGGGGTTAAACCCCCTATATAGTGAACCAAAACATAAAAAAAGAAAAAAAAAAAAAATGTGCTGTACTGTCCAAGGCAGAGCAACAACTTGTTAGTCAAATGTAACAAAAAGAGAGGAGCCCTCTATTTTTAAGAGATACCCCAGACAAAAACAGCTCAAACTCAAAATAAATATAATAAAACATGTATTAAAAGGATAAATACATAAAAACCTAAATCCATGTAACCATCAAGCTCTCCTCCCCGCTCCGCCTCCTGTGACAGCCAGTCAGAGCGGCTACAAACACTAAGGCCTGGTTCACACCTGAACTGCCATTGGTATTCCCGAGCCACACTCAGGAATACAGCGTAAAAGGTCTTACCTTGTCCGCGATCCCCGCTGTGTCTTCGGTGGCTGCCGACTTCCATCCCTTGCGAGCGGCCGCGTCGCAGGGGGCGGGCGGAGCCGGCAGGAAGTTTAAAAGTGAAACAACAACAACAACAAAAAAGAGAAAATAAAAACAGGGGAAAAAAATAAATAAATCATACAGCCAGTGAAACACGTGAACGAAAAAACGAGCTGTAAAACGAGCATAAAAAACGCTCAGGTGTGAACCCAGCCTCAGTGATCGCTGAGTGTTTGTAAATAATTGAGGACATAGTATGTTTACTCCTCCAACTCGATCCTGCAGAGCAGACTAAGGCCTGGTTCGCACCTGGGCGTTTTACAGCGCGCAGGAACGCGCTGAAAAACGCCCTACGCCCAAAGAAGTACAGGAGCTTCTTTGGGGCGTATTTGCCGCGCGTATCCATTAGGATACAGCCGGATAGGTGTACGTACGCCCAGGTGTGAACCCAGCCTTAGACTGCAGCTATCATTTTCATAATCGATTAGTTGCCAGATTTTTTTCAACTAATCGATTGGTTGTATAAATGTTTTTATCTCCAACCAACTATTCGATAATAGTTGCCAACTATTCTCATAATTGATCATTATTGATTTAATTGATTAGTTGTTGCAGCCCTAAAGCAGACCAGAAAGAAGCTTTAAACATTAGGGAAGGAAAGTTGTAAATCAGGGTGTTCAGATATCACAGAGCCACCAGAGCTTTCACTGCTTCTGCGAGAGGATCCCTGTACCTGGAGACAAACCTGTCCAGTTCTTTAATGTGGATGTCATCATCTGGTGTCCCCATTCTGTGATAACTTTGGGTGTAGGGACCACTCCCATCGGGGCCAGCACATCTGCTGAGAAAGTCTGCAGGCCAACTGTTTACGTCCGGTTGACAAGGCAAGAACATGAAGTCCTGACTAAGACAAAATTCAATCTACGAATCTTGCAGCAACAAGACTTCTGATCTATCATTGAGGGTTGATGTAAACCACTGCCATGGTGCAGTCTCACTGCATCTAAACTTGAATGACCCAACGCCCAAAGTCCCAGGATGTTGATAGGGAGATGAGATTCCAAGACTCCACCCCAGCCCAACAGGCTGGCATCTGTCATGAGGATCTTCCAGAAGACCGAAAAAAGAAAAGGACATTCCCGATTCCAGAAACAGATTCCTGAGACACTAGGCCAGAGAAGACCTTGTCCTCGGTGGAAAATAAATAGGTCTGTCTAGGTAGCCAATAACCTGTCCAATGATGACAGTTTTTTGCGTTTTAGGAGGTCTGAAGTAAAACTAGGCATATAGACTGCCTCGAAGGAGGCTACCATCAGGACCAAGACTCATGCAAAAGCCAAGAGTCAAGGACTCCCGAACTGGAGGGCTTGATTCGGAGATCAGAGTCTGAAGTTTCTCCAATGAAATAAACACATTGATCTAAACTGTGTTCAGGACAAACCCAGATACTTTAAACAAGGAGTCGGTTCTAGTAAAAATTTCAGTTTGGCAGTGCCTGTGCAGACTGCTCCCTTAAGAAGAGGTCACCAAGTAAAGTAGGGCTAAAACTGTGGCCAACACTTCAGTGAACACACAAGGGGCAGAAAAGAGCTATATAAACTGGTAACGTAGAGGCCCCAAACCAAGATGTATGTGCTTAAAAAATGCGGAACACATAGGTGTCCTTGATGCTAGAAAGTCTCCCTGGTGAAGGGAGGCGAAGACAAACGTGGTGGATTCTTTGTGGAATGACTGACCTGGAGTGAAGACATTCAGAGCTTTAAGAACCAAGATGGAGTGAATGCCCAGTTTGGATTTTGGGAACAGTGAACAGATTAAAAATCCCTAAAACCGAACTGAGGCAATTACACCTTGGTCTAAGAACCGAGAGGGGTTTATGCAGATCTGTTAATGTGTGCAGTGCCGAAAAATGGGCAGAGATCAAAACTCCAGTTTGTAGCCCTGGTCGCTGTAACTCCTGTGCAAGAACATAGGAGTTACAGCATCCCTAGTACTCCACTATTCTCGGCATGTTGGGAATGAACAGAGATCTACAATATAAATGGGTAAATAAAAACTGCTAGCAGCCCCTCTTTGACAACCCATATCTCCTACATTCCCATTTTTCCAGCACTGCAACCTCAGTCTCTTTAGCATTTTACACTTTCAGGAGACAAAGATAAGATAAATTTATTACCATTGCATACAAGACACAGCCAAACTCAGTTTAGCATCAACCCACTCCAAGGCAACTATAAAAGTCATATAACAATATTTAAAAATCCATACCACCCTAAATAAAAACCCCGCCCTCAATAATCATTTAAATGAGGCCCTCATAATTCATTAGGCTATCCATTGCACACGGGGGAAAAAAAAAACTATTCCCTAACCTATTTGTGTGTGCGCCTGTATTTTACGTAATCTACCAGACAGAAACAGAGTTCCCTGAGTGTCTACAATCATTCCTGATCCTAGAGGAAAGTCTAAACAGACCATTCAAATAAATATTTTTCAACTCAGTAAGCGGAGAGCCAAAAATCATTCTGCTGTCCACCCTACATGTCCAGGGGTGTGGAAATACTATAACCCAACCCCGGGACATGCAGTTTTGGGCGCGTCGTGTTTTTTGTGCATTTAGCCCTGCTTCGGGCAAGCAGAGCTAAATGTACAGTGGGGAGCCACCGCTCGTTTAGTACAAGTAATCTGATGAGATCACTTCTATCAAACAAACATTTCTTTTGTTTTCTTAATATTGAACTGCAGATCGTTATTCCTACACCAAACAGCGAGTGCATTAAAATTCTCTTTGTAGCATGGCTCATTATACTCGGATATCAACCCTACCACAGTGGTATCATCCACAAATGTAATTACAGAATTCAAACCACAGATGGCTAAAACAGTCAAATCAGACAGTACAAAAGCAGAGTAAGAACACAGCCCTGCTATACCAGAGTACTCATAATGGTGGTAGCCGAAAAACAATTTACCATCACAGATTGCAGCCTAATCCACATGGCTTGTATGAAGCGCCAATGGAACTGCATCCTCAATACTTCTATTTTCCTTGTAGGCAAACTGCCATGGATCAAACCCAGGATGTAGATTGGCCTTGATATAGTTCCGGGCAATCCTTTAAAAGCATTTCATAATCACTGACAATAAAGCCGACAGCCTATAACAATTCAAGTAAGTGATAGCGGAGGTCTTACGCATCGGTATATTTTGCAACCAACACTCCAGAATTGTTAAAATGTTGAAGACAAGGGACAGAGGTTGCAGTGCTGGAAGAGAGGAAAGGTAGGAGACCAGGGCTGCCAGAGAGGTGAATATAAAGAGCTCTTCTATTGCAGGGCACCTTCTATTAGGATTTTCTTTTACCCTTGACAGTGTCATTTTAAAAACAGTACCCTGCATGCACGGACCCCTAACCTTACAAAGTACTGTACAGACACATTTTTAGTTACCTGAACCAGATCCTGATGTGGTCATGTCATATATTAAATCTTTAAGTGTTGTTCCCTCTGAGATGAAGGGCCTGTCCAATGAAGGATCTTCCTCATTTGGAACACGATGATGGATAACAGTGCGATTGTGGCAAATATATAGAATTAACATCAGTAAAATACAGATAAAACAAACTGGTCCAGCAATAATCGCTGCCAACTCCACTGGACTAAAGATAGTAATAGGTTTTGTTGATGGAACTGTAAAAAGAATCAAATAGAATGGCATTAAACGTTTGAAAACTGTTTTACATAAGCAGCAGTTGATCTTATTGGAATAAAAATTGCATACATTGATTTTAATCTTTAAAGCCTAACTCCAGGCACAAAAAAAAAAAATACCCTTGCAGTGGAGCTTCCCCACACTACCTAGGTTAAATGCTCATTAGGTCTAGGGGTAGAGTAATAAAGGTGCAATACCTTTTTTCTCGCTCTATCAGACTCCCTCCACCTATGCGACCAGTCCCCGAAGCCTCCTCTCTTAGGCGCTCCTGGCTGCAGTCGGACACTTGTGGGAGCTAGGAATACGATAAGCAATACAACCCCTTCCTCTTAGAGCAATGGGCCCACAATTCTCTCTATGTCCTACCTCTTACGCTCCCACACATCCAAGGGCAGTGAAAGTTGTCCCTGCTGGTCCCGCCCTCTGCCAACCACCATTTCCATCCCCAGCTTGCATGGTCAGCGTACTGGTGCTGGGGTGTGTATGCAGGGAGGAAGGTGGCAGCTAGAAGATTCAGTTAGATCCTGTCACTAAAGCTGGCCATACACTAGTAGATTTTTGATACTAAAGATCTTTCTTTAGCACCCATCAGACACTTGACGTATGTTAATCAAAGTTTCGTTTGATTTTAAAGTTCAATGTTGGAATGAATGGAGTTTCCCGAACAAAAACCACATTTACGGTTAGAATTTAATTTAAAGAAGAAAAAAAAATTTAGATGCTGCTCCGTCAAGTTTTTTCGCCACTACAATCAATTTATTGATGATTGATTTGACCGCGTCAACTTATAGAAAGAATGTATGAAAGTTCTTTTGAAAATCTAAGCAGTGTATGGCCAGCTTTAGTCTGCCTTCCTGTGATGGGAGTGCACCTGCCTACCCCAAGCCAGCCTGGGTGAAATCTGTAAAGTTATCAAAAATATTATTCCCCCCCCCCCTCATTCTTTGACATTTTATATGTGAAATTCATGACACCAATGCTGGGGTTTATTTTGTGTCCACCAACATTAATGCTGGGGTATATTTTTGTGTTCAAGGACACCAATGCTGGTGGTTTTTACTACAGCCAATTACATCAATGCTGGAGGTTATTGTGTTCACTGACATTAATGCTGGGGGTTAATACTGCATCTTTGGACACCAATGCTAGTGGGTAATATTACGTTCACTGCCACTAATTATAGGGGTTAGAAATGCAGCCACTGACATCAATGCTAGGGGTTATTATTGCGACCACTGCCACCACTGAGGGGGCTTATTTTACTCCCACTTCCTCCTGTGTGTTGTGGTAATAAATACAGAAGGACCAACATTTTCAGGCCTTGAGGTGCGTAACAGCCTATAAATGGGCTGCATAACGATGAAATGCACTTCAACGCAGAAAAATTAGCTGCTATCGTGCAGCCCTCTCACAGTGCTTTTGCATACTTTTAAAAGGGTGCCAGGCCTGAAGAAAGGTTGAGAAACACTGATTTAACTCTTGCAGTGTGGGGGGCCCCACTGTATTTTTTCCCCCCATCCTGGAGTTGGGCTTTGAGTTCCTAATCTTATTCTCTGTACCTTACGATTATTCTTCATATACAACTGAAAGTTAGGCTATTTTGCCTACAGTATGTCTAAGAAAAGAATACTAAAGTATAAAGCATACCTGTGTATATCTTCAAATCAATCCATGTCCCAACGAGGCCTCTTGGATCGTAGACTGAGCTACATATGTGGCCTCAACTTCTTCCCAAACCACTAAGATAAAGCCACTGCCCTTTCAGTGTCAAGCCCTAATTCAACTCTCAAGTTACAGAATTTAAATGCGCAGTAGCAGCTTCGGCATTTCAGTTTTAGGGCCCATTAACAAAAGGGCAACAGAGTTTCAGCGTGTTTTACGCATGTTTTTTAGAAGTGCGTTCCATTTAAGTCTATAGGGAAAACACGCTTATCAGCGCTACAAAAGTAGCTCAGGGACAGGCGTATTGGAACGCACGATTCCGTGAACAGCCCCCATAGGAATCTATGGGATTTTAAATGTTGGCATCTCAGCTTGGAAAAATCCGTGACAAACCGCCCTGGTGTGAACGGGGCTTAAGGAAAATCAGTCCACAAGTACAGATTCATAGCACAATTCATGAAGCAACAGATGGAGTAGTCTGAAGGCCAACACAGGTATTTAATGTACTAATTGCACTTCAAGTGACATTAAACTCAAGAGTTAGATCTTAAAAATGCATTCAAGTACCTTAACTATTTAAAACAATGTACCTTATTTGTGCATCACTTATTTATGCACACTGTCCTCTCTTCTGGAGGGTGGCTACTTTTGTTCACAATGGTCCCCGTGTGTGTTGTAAAGTAGCCACCGCTCCAGGCTCACTCCTGTGATGGTCTACAATCTCACGTTTAGTTTACTAATTTGTATTGAAATTTTAGTCCACCACGGGAACAAGCTTGGAGCACATTAAGATTTAACTCCCGAGTTTAGTGTCACTTTAAAGCACTGATATTAACTAGAATATTCAGGCTTGTTATTAAATTTGAATCCTCAA